CTGAAGCTCCCTTCAGCTGGTGGACATTTAAAAGAAAGCATGAGAGTTGAGGGAGTGAACAGCCCTTCCAGATGTTCTTTTCAGATGTTCCTGCCACCATCCTTTGATCATGTTTTCACTTCAAGTACCATCTTGTGTTTTCACCTCCCCTGCGCACAGGCGCTGGCTGGTGATCTAATCGCGGGAGCCGCGCGAAGGCTCTGAATCTCCGCAGTGCCATCTCCAGTTTCTGGGCACCATATTCCTCTCAAGAATAAATGGCAATTTCCAAGGACCCCAACACGAGGTGATGGAGAACAAGGTGTTATGAAGAAGTAAAATTCAAGCAGTGAAGACAGACGGATCAGATGGAACCGTGACTGAACACATCTCAGAGGCTAAACACCTAAGAAACAGTCGCAGAGGACAAAAATACAGTGATTTTAAAATAAGCAATTCACAATGGAATGAAAAATGGAACTAAAAGAAATCTGGGGTAAAATAAACAACTGCAGGTAGTAAATTAAGATTCCATAACATCACGTCAAAAGGGTCATTGCAAGTTAGGGGAAAATAAATGAGTTTTTAAGAAAGACTTTTTTTTTCTTTTCCCATTTTCTGTGTAAATATCATCATGATATAAAACATTTGGAAAATAACACAGAAGGAGATAAAGCCATGCACTTGTCAATGCCTTAGCTTGATCTTTATGTGTAATTTACAATTTTGTCTCCTGTTTTAGCTTGATCTTTATGTGTAATTTACAATTTTGTCTCCCGTTTCTCCAGTACTGGGTTTTAAAAAGAGACCTCTAGATATTAACACATTGAGGTTATTTCTAGAATCACATGGGTGAGCAATGATTACCTGGCAGTACAAATAATCACTGGCATCGTGGTAATCCACCCCAAAACCCCAGCCCTACCTTTGACAACCCCTAAGGAGTCCCTCCATCCATAAAGACCCAACCGACAGAATGCAACCTCCAGACCGGACTTGCCCCAGAAGTCCCTTTCAGCACCCAGAGGACACTGGAAGGGAGAACAGACGTGAGGATAGCTGAGGCGTGATGCTGTCCAGCTTGGCGTGGGGGGATGGTGGGGAAGATGTCAGGCAGCGCTCCAGCAGAGAGATGAGTGGGTCAGAGCTGCAGAGGCCGGAGCACGGCCAGGCTGGGGAACTGCGGACGATCAGGGGATGCTGTGTGTAGGGGCGGGGCCCGGGGTATAGGGCGAGACTCTAAAGTTATGCTGAGGAATTGGGTTTTTGTCCTGAGAGCCATGGGAAGCCACTCCAATGTTTTAGGCAGAAATATGGGGATCCCGTTACCCTGATGACATTAGCATATTGAGGAGGCATTCCAGCTTCTGGGGTGGGAATAGATTACAGGGAACAAAAATGGGTGTGCAAAGACCCACCATGAAGGAAGTTGCTGGATTCAGCCAGGTAAAGCCGTGTTGCAGCCACAGACTAGATGATGGAAGTGGAGACAGAGAAAAGGGAAGGAGCTGTAAAGAGAAGGCCCTGGACTTGTGGTGAGCAGGAGGGTCATGGGTGGTGAAGAGGAAGCAGGGGCATCCATCAGGACCGCAGGCTTCCAGCTTGCGCAAGCAGAGCCAGTGATGGAGGGAGAGACGGAAATAAGATTGCGTTTGGGGGCGTGAATATCATGAATGAGTCTTGGACATATTGATTTGAGGTGCCTTTGAGAATCCAAGCAGAAACACCAAGGAGGCAACCGTATATGGCAGTGGGTAGGGCAGAGTGGATTCTCCTAATGTGGGAGCCTTCAGCCACATGGCCACGGAGGATGAGGAGCCACGTGTCACAGAGGGGAGGACAGCCCTGTAGGGACCAGAGATGGAGTCAGAGCACAGGCCCAGGAGAAGTGGCTGTGGGAGCCGAGGAGTGAGCGATTCGGGAGGCAGGTGGGTGCCGTGCCTGTCTGCCGAGAGCTGCTTCGTGGAGTGAGGGGGTGGGAGCCAGATTGGAGGGGGCTGGACAGCGAGTGGGAGGTGAGGATGTGGAGACAGGTCCTTCACAAAGCTCCCCCACAGCAAACAGGAGAGAGAGAACAGGAGCTAGTGGGACATGCGGTTGACGAGCCCATCCCTGCTTAGACAATCCCGTGGATGTGTATGGAGCCAGGGTGAGGTCACCCCTTCCCCAAGCACAAACTGCTTTTATCCCTGCTGGTTTCTTGCAGATCTGAGATCTGATGGCTTTGTGTTGGGCTTGGAGTGCAGCGAGCAATTGGCATCCAGGAAGGGGGTTTTGGATGGCTCCTACTCCGTCTCCTCTCTCTTAGAAGATAAATGCATCTCAGTGATAGACAGATAGCTGCTACCACCAGTCCCCAACCCCAGACACCATGGGAGGAGAAGAGACATCAGAGACCCAGGCACAACTCCCACCAAGGCGCTCACTCTCAAGTCACACCGAGTCGCTTAGATTTTCCTAAATGCGCTTTGTGTGTCGGCCCCTTCTGGCCTTTGCTCGTGCTGTTCCCCGTGCCTGAAATAGCCTCCCTCACCCACTGCCAAGCTGTCTGGTGAATGCTGCATGGGTATTGAAAAACTCGGCTCAGGGGTCTCTTCTGTGAAGCCTCTTCTATCATCTACCTCGCACTGGGGTGGGACTGGTAGTGCTTGAAGCCACTTCCAGGAGACTCTATTGTGGCGCCCAGTGCACTTTGCCGCGCTGTGAGCAGGGGGCAGCGAACTCAAGTGTCTCAGCCTGTTGTTGCCATGCAGAAACACGAGCTCAGTGTGGCTAGATCTCTGCTTTTTCACGAAAAGCCAAAAATCTTGATTTTTGATTTCTTATATGTATATTTTTAAGATTCAGGGGTTCATGTGCAGGTTCATTACACGGGTGCATTGCAGCATGCTGAGGTTGGCCTTCAGTCCATTCCATCACCCAAACAATGATCATAGTACCCAATAGGAGTTTTTCAGCCTTGCCTCCCTCCCTCCCTTCCTGCTCTTGCAGTCCCCAGTGTCTGCTGTCCCCGTCTTTATGTCCGTGTGTACACGATAATTAGTTCCCACATAAGTGAGAACATGCCATATTTGGTTTTCTGTTTCTGCAAAACCTTGATTTTTAACATGAAACCTCCTGATTTTTAAAAGAATTTTGAAACCACTGTGCAAGCCAAACAAAATACAGCTGCAGGCTAGATTCTCCAAGGACTACCACTTGCTACAAGCCCTGTTTTCAGGCAGGGAGTATATCTTATTTGCCCTGCACAGACAGAGGTCTCTAACCAGGCAGGGGAGGGGCATGGGGGAGGGGACCCCCAGCTTCGTTGCCAGAAACATCATTGTATCATTTCATAAAGTCCTCACAACAAAGCCTCAAGGTCAGCATTAGCCCATTTTCCAGCCAGGAAAACTGAAGCTCCGAGGAGGAGAAGCGCTACCTGGGGACTCACAGCTAGTCAATTGCAGAGTTAATTCCAACCCTGGTCTGTTTCTTCAGACATTCCACAGGGGCTGAACGCGTGAAGTCAGCCAGGTACTCAAACAGTGTCTTCAACAGGAGGCACTGTACAACTTTCTACTAAACAATAGAATTAATATTGTTGTTTTGCTTTGGTTTGGGTTTTCAAGACAGGGTCTCACTCTGTCACCCAAGTGGGAGACCAGTGGTGCCATCCTAGCTCGCTGTAGCCTTGACCCCCTAGAATTCAAGTGATCCTCCCACCTCAGCCTCCCTGAGTAACTGGGACCACAGGCACATGCCGCCACGCCAAGCTAATCTTTTAAATTTCTGTAGAGATGAAGTCTCGCTATGTTGCCCAGGCTAGTCTTGAACTCCTGGACTTAAGTGATCTGCCTGCCTCAGCCTCCCAAGAGCTGGGACTACGGGCATGAGCCACCGAGCCTGGCCTAATATTGTTAATAATTAATGCCATAATTGATTGAGCCTCTGTGATTCTAGGTGCTGGGATAGAGTGGAAACCAGGAAAAGCAGGCTCTCTGGTCTTGTGGAGTGTACATGGAAACGGAGCAGACATAAACATGTAAATTAATAAACAAGTAATTTCAGAGAGTCCTAAGTGCTACAGAGAGAGGTGCAAGGGTCCCAGGAAGGAAGATCTGCACTCCCAAGAAGCTCGGGGGGTTTCCGTCCCCCACACAGTGCCACGTGCCCAAGTGAAGTGGGTTGTTTATTCAGCACAGCTGAATTCCCTCTGCGATCCAGTCCAACAGGTCTCATTTTCTTCCACACATTGTTAAACCAGATCTGAGCATTAAGTATTCAAGAAAGCCCCGATACTGCAAATATTTACCTTTCATTCAGCAGCATCCAACCCAACCCTCGGGAGGCCCGATTAAGACACCCTCCTTGGGGACGTCAGGCAGGGTGACACTGGGAGGGCTTAATTCCAGATGTTTCTCAGGGCTGGGGCAGGAATCGGGGGGTGCAGGCTCTCCAACCCAGCAAACTCAACACGTGTGCATACATACTGGCCCTTCCACATGATCACGTGCACATACACATGCACACACACAGAACATGCCTTTCTTCTACAGCTCTGAAAACCATTTCATATCTGCCCAACTGCTCCTCAGCCATGCAATCGGCTCTTGCAGAGGGTAATCCAACAGGACCTGGGGGGTGGGGGAAGGGGTGGGAAAAGGACAGTTTAATTCCTTCCTGTCCATCAGCCCCGCATGGCACCACCTTGTCCCCAGCCCCCAGGAGGACAGCAGGAGAGACTTGGATGAAATGGGCTCAGAAGGGCCTCTCCCGCAGATAGGAAAGGTAGGGGCGTGAGGGAGCCCATGAGCTCTGTCCCACAGAGTGCATCATCCCAGAACTGCATACATGGTCTGAGTCTCACCTCACCTGCTCCTCCTACAATGAGCCCCTCAGCCATGGGACTCCCCTCACTCCCACTGTGTGCTCAGGTCCTCGATCAATGCCCAGCAGAGATCATTGATCAGGCCCAAGAGGCTGCACAGCACAGGGAAGGACTATGTGACCTGGGCTTAAATCCCAGCTCTGGCACTTACCAGCTGTGTGACCTTGGGCAAGTCGGTCTCCCTCTCTGTGCCTCGATTTGCCATCTGTAAAATGGGGATGACAGTAATGCTTACACCTCAGAGAGGTGTCACAGAAATTAACTGAATCACATCTAAGTATTTAGAGGAGGGCCTTATACAGGGTCAGAAACAATAACGTGGTTATTGGCCATGCCTCGAAACCCCATCGCCATCTCCATCCTAAGCTGGTCATGACCAAGCTCATGCTTCACTCTGGGGTCTGGCAAGGGCATTAGGAGCAGAAGGGACAGAAACTCACACACGCAAAGCCCTCCACGTGCCAGGCACTGTGCCAGCATGTAACGTGGATTATCAAATTTAAGCCTCCCTGGGACACCAAGAACTCTGGACTCTCCCATCCTGGGTCAGAGGAAACAGGTCCAGAGGGGCTTGGTGCCTCACCCCAAATCACACAGCAGCAGAGATGGACTTGATAAACTCACCCCAAACCCCTGCTCTACCCACAGCACCCTCTGTCCGCAAAGGAGGAGAAGAAAACCTGGGCAGCTGGGGCCGTGAATTGACCTCCCTTGAGTCCTGGCTGCAGCACCAGGGACTCTGGCCACTGAAGGATGTCAGCCCTGCATCTGAGCCACCCTGCAAATCTATGCAGACATCTATGTGCTCGGAGCTGTTTGTAGGGAAGACACAAAAAAGGGAAAAGAAATAGAACAGCCTGGCTAAGCTGAAATGTTCTCCTCAGAGGGGAAGGGAAATAAAATTTGATGAACCTCTGCATAATGTTCAGGTTATGAATGTGTAAAGTGATATTCTGCACATATGCTGGAAGGGATTCATCTTGGGGCTGAGCTGTTAGGAACCATTGGAACTGGGGCACCAACAAACCGCAGCTTCTTGATGGGGTACGGAGCGGTTCTGTCTTCTGCCTCAGCAAAACAAGGTACGTTTTACTCACGGATGCCCCAGGAGGTGAATCTCCACAGCAGAGTAGCAACTGACTGCGGTGCTAATGGGGCAGCTTTGGACACCAGGCTGCTTATGTGTCTACTGCAAACACCTGCTGAGTGCCATTCCGGGCCCTGTGCCATGCTGGGCATTGCCACCATCCACAGCCTGGGGCGAGGTGAGCCACGTGCCAGGTTAGCCGGATCTTCCTGTCCACTGCCTCCTGGCCCGGGACTGAACACCTGACCTTCGCTGGGCAATCACATCCTCTCTCCTGGGGTTTTGCACTGGAAGCGCTGGGGTGCTGAGTCAGCGAGATGATGGTGGGGACAGACATACCAGAGCATGAGGGAGCCAGGGCTGCACTTTCCAAAGACAAGAGTCCCGTCAATCACCAGAAAACCCTGAATGAGCTCCTAGGAGGTGGCTGGCCAATTCTAGGTGCCTGGTTCACAGCGAGAAACAAGATGGTGTAGGTTTTCTATCCCAGATCTTATAGTCTGCAAACTGGCAAACAAAGAAAATCCTGGCAGGTGGTGTCAGGTGCTATGAAAAAATAGCCATGGTGCCAGGCATAGTGGTTCGTGCCTGTAATCCCAGCACTTTCAGAGGCTGAGGCGGGAGGATTGTTTGAGGCTTGGAGTTTTAGGCCATCCTGGGCAACCCATAGCAATACTAAAAATGAAAACATTAGCCAGTCGTGGTGGTGCATGTTACTTGGGAGGCCAAGGTGGGAGGATCACTTGAGCCCAGGAGGTCGAGGCTGCAGTGAGCCGTGCTTGTGTCACTGTATGCAGTCTGGGTGACTGATAGGGTTTAGCTGTGTCCACCCTAATCTCACTTTGAATTAGAGTTCCCATCATCCTTATCTGTCATGGGAGGGATCCAGTGCGAGGTAATTGAATCACTGGGGCAGTTACCCCTACATCGTTCTCATGATAGTGAGTTCTCATGAGATCTGATGGCTTTATCAGGGAATTTTCCCCACTTTGCTTGGCACTTCTCCTTACTGCGGCCATGTGAAGAAGGACATGTTTGCTTTCCCTTCCGCCATGCTTGTAAGTTTCCTGAGGCCTCCCCAGCCCTGCTGTGAGTCAATTAAACCTCTTTCCTTGATAAATTACCCAGTCTCAGGTATGTCTTTATTAACAGCATGAGGACAGACTAATACAGCAACTGAGTGAGACCCTGTCTCCAAAACATAAAAAATAGCAACGGGCTGCAGTATCTAGGACAATGTTGTGGGGAGTGTGTGTTTAGACCCGGTGATTAGGGGAGGCCTCATGGAGGCATCCAGTGGCACAGTAAGTAGAAAGGTCCCGAGGTGGGGATGCATTTGGAGTGTCCAAGGGATGAACGGAGGCCTACGTGGCTGGGGAAAGACACAGTATCAGGATGAGAGAGGGATCTGTAACATGAGGGTCCCTGTGTGGGCCACCCCACCCCATGGCCTGCCATGCTTCTCTTCTGACCAAAGCCCTCCCAAGTGCCCCACAGGGAGTCCAGCTCCTCAGTGCTGCCCCACCCTGCAGCCTCTTGTCCTTCTCCCCCTCCTCGTCCTCTGCCAAGCCCTGAGGATGTGCAGTGATGCCTTCCCTGACACCGAAAGGCATTAATGCCCATCTCCTTCAGCTCCCCCATAAGCAGGCCCTGTGATAAGGATTTAGGTACAGGTAGCTTTCTTGAGGGGAGGCAGTTCCAGGAAATATGGGTAGGGGAGAGGGAAGGTGTGACAGGCAAGGGACGGAGCCAGTAGAGGAAGTGACAGAGGCTGATCCCTGCTAAGGGCACCTGGGGCCCAGTCCCATGGCAGAGCATGCCCCAGGCTGTTTTGTAACCAAAGGTGGGAAGCTGGGTCTTCATCTACCAACACCCGCTAACTCCTGACAGCATCAGTCTCCTGGGCATTCCAGTAGGCCCCATGTGTTGGGCAAAGCAGACTCGGGTCAGAGAGGGTCCTCAAGGCTGAGAGTCACATGAACTTGTGAGAAGCCCCCAGCCTATGCATGAACCATGAGTCCTGAGCAGATCTGTCCAGGGCATGCATAACTGCACCTGCATGGACTCCAGAGGCTGCCTGGGTTGAATCCTGGGGCTGCCTCTTCCATCTGGGTGGCCTGATCCTGAGGCATTGCCAGCTCTGATTTTCTTCAGTCTAGGAAAGAGCCACGCAGACCTGGGGCCCAACTCCTCCTCCATCACTGTGCAGCCTTACGTAAGTGTCTTAACTTCTCTGAGCCTCAGTTTTCCTCATCTGTAAAAAGGGGCTAATAGTCCTAATTGCATAGTGAGGTCTTAAGGATGAAATGAAATGTCTGGGCACAGGGCCTGGCACACAACTCATGCTCCATAAATGGCAGTTATGATGGTCGGCTCCGATCTGAGGTTGCTGTTCTATATCCTCTCTCTCAAGAGGAAAGACTGGGAGCGTGGGGACTCCAGGCCAGATTGGCCATTTGTGGGGACCTCTACATAGTGCTTCTGACCGGGATAGGCCTAGGAGGCAGACAGAGCACAGAGAGAGTAACATAGGCTGTGATTCTACAAGACCTGCCACAAACACTGGCACAGCAACTCTAGGGGTGTGGACTGAGCTAAGGCGGGCAGCAGCCCCTGACAGCCCAGAAGAGACTGAGGCAGCTAGCAGGGCATAGATTGGCACTAGGTTGGAGAGTGGGAGTGGCAGCTGGCCCTGGGTAGGGCCCAGCTCTGGGTAGAGCCAGGAGGAGAGCAGTACGGAGTGAGGTGGACACAGAAGCAACAATGAGCCCTGGTGGGAGGGCTCAGAAATTTCAGGTTTCGGGGTGCTGATGCTGTCTCTGAGTGGCTTCATCAGAAGATGGGAGGAGTTCTGCCTAAGGATATCTCCAGCTTCTGAAATCCTGAAATTCATCCAGCCAGCCATCTGCCTGTCTGTCCTTCCACTCATACCTACTCATCTATACCTCTACTTATCAATCCTTTCATCCAGCCATTCATCCATCTACCCACCCACCACTCAACCATCCATCCAACACACCTACCCATCCACCCATCCATCCATCCATCCACCTACCCATCTGTTTACTTATTTATCCATCCATCCCCTCCACCTACCCACTAACCCATCCTTCCATCCATCCATCCATCCATCCATCCATCTACCTACCCATCTGTCCACTTGTCCATCCATCCATCCCCGCACCTACCCACTAACCCATCCATCCATCCATCAACCTGTCCACCCACTCATCCATCCATCCACCCATCCACCCTCTCACCTGTCCACCTATCTATCTATCCATCTACCCACCCACTGTTTATTGTCACCTCCTCTGTTCCCAGCTGGACTCTGAACACTCGGGTGATTACATGTAGTTCCTGACATTGAGAAGCCATTCTCCTCCTGCAGCCATCACCAGTCCCACAGCTGGGTCCTCTTTTCACTCAATGCCATGACAGAGACCAAGAAGGAAACCTTGGTTCAGCCTCTATCATGGTTCCATGAAGCATAGGACCAAATGGCAAACACTCAAACTTGGTTCCCTTCTGGGTTTCTCATGCTTTGATCACATAAGCCCAAGGCAACCTCATGACCCATAAAACATTAAAATGTCCCAGAGATTCCGACATAATGGTGTCCAAACTCTGCCTCACTCAGCCTGCCCCTTCTGCCTCCCGCCTCCATAACCCTTCTGTCATGCCATTCACTCCAGTTTTTGACTGGGGCCCGGTGGCCACTGAGGCCAGGCCATGGGCTTTAGAGTCCCCATGGTGGCCAGAGGTAACCCCCTGTGCACTGACCTCTCCCGGAAGTACTTGATGGCCTCAGGGTCTATGAAGGTCGGCTCCTCCCGGTAGCCCTGCTCAAAGACCTTGCGCTTGTGCCGGAACTCAATGACCGTCTTGGTGTAGGAGTTGAGCGTGGTGACAGAGGCTGCCATGCAGCAGGTAAAGGAGCCCCACGCCAGGCTGCCAAGAGATCAGGAGAGAGATGCCATGGTGAGGGTGGGCGAGGGACAGGAAACATTCCCCACCCACCAAACATTCATTCATCCCTGCATGGCTGCCTCTTCCTCTGGTACCTCAGCAGGTACTGCCATGAGAAGGACAAGACTTGGTCTCTGCCCCACTCACAGTCTGGGAGACAGAGAATTATCTGCACATCGTGATGCAGATGTAAGTTACCCAGAATACAGCAACACTTATGGGTCTGGTAGGAAGAGTGAGAGTTGGCCAGGGGAAAGGGCATTCCAGGAGAAGGAATATTGTATGCAAAGGCATGGAGGCGTCAGACAGCAGGGAATGTTCCACAAACCGTGGGAGGTTTGCGGAACAGAAGTGAGGATGCATGAGGAGATTAGCTGGAGTTGGTGATAGAGAAGGAGATGGTGCAGACACCCTAAAAGCTCATTTTTCATGAAAGTTAAGTTACCTTTGTTCATATACGACCCTTAAGAAAGTAAAGTTACTTTTGTTCATATATGACCCTGGGAAAGATGCCAACCCTTTGTTTCACATTCCTCATGTTTATTATTATTATTTTTTAAAGATAGAGAGTTGCTCTGTTGCCCAGGTTGAAGTGCAATGGTGCGATCATAGCTTACTGCAGCCTCAACCTCCTGGCACAAGTGATCCTCCCACCCCAGCCTTTGGGAGGCTGAGGATTATAGGTACGTGCCACTGCTCCCAGCATCTCCTCGTGTTCATTGTAATGGACAATAGTGCTACCTCACAGGGTAGTAATGGACAATAGCACTACCTCATAGGGTTGTTACAAGGTTTAAAGGAGATGATCCAATGAAAACATCTTAGAATAGTATCGAGCACACTGTAAGCACTCAAGAAGGTCTTGCTGTCATTATTATCATTAATATTAACGTCTTCAGTACCCACTTCTGTATGACTTGGTTTGTAAACTCTCCCCCTGAGAGAGGAGGTTATAATGACCTGCTTGGCTCTCTCCTCCCCAACTTTCTTTTCAGCTGGGACTTTTGACAGCCCTCACTTGATGTACGTGCTGAGCCCAGCCCAAACCTGGAGAATTTGTCCTAACCACAGTTGGAAAGGTAGGAAGGGTGGAGCTAGGAGACTCAGCTGACCCAGTTCCAGTTCTAGAAATGGACTGCCTGATTCCTCTGTTTGAGACTATGCATTCAACATTTAGTACCACGAGTGGGGTTCCTGCCCGGCCTCAGTTACATCTGGCCTGGTGCCTAGAGCCTAGTTCTTCAGTCTCTGCCTTGGTAACTGGTTTCCTCCAAATCAGGGACTCAGTTTTGCTATTCCAACCCTGCACTGCCTGGGAGCTCCAGGCCTCCCCTGCTGCCAGCCCACCCAGCTGGTCTCCGAACATCACCACCACCCCTACATTCCTCATGGTCAATGAAGCCCACTGTCTGTACTCACTGTTTTTCCCTTTGACAGCCTCTGAGTACCCCAGAAGGAAAGCAAGGAAAAAATTTGAGGACTCAGCCTTTCTCAAAGGGATCCTCAAAAGGGTCATCTATTTCCCTTAACACCAAACCCATTGATAGAGTTCCCCTGTTTCCTTCGTAATAAGGATCTGATGTAGATCTTCCAGAAGCCCTTAGTGTCTGTAATAGACAGCTTTAGGGTATCAGCCTGGCCCCTCTAAGAGCTTCCCTGTCCACAAAAGTGTCCAGCATGTTACTTACTACCCCCCACCATTCATAGATGACTAGATAAGGGCTGACCATCTGGCCAATGCTAGTCCAGTCAGATACTCTCTTAAGCAACAAAGCTGAAGATTCTACTTCAACCTGGGATGTCTCTTTGGCATAATGGAAACTCAGACCCCGAAGATGGAGAATGAACAAGTAGGCTTTTTCTGGATTCCATGAGTATGGAGTATGCTGGTTCTGCCTGACCAGCAGCCATTCTTGCTTATGGTAACTGTACTCTGATTCTGTTAAGGGATCACTCCTTCCTTCTTCTCAGGCCATTTGGTTTGCGTGGGGCTGGCCCCATCCCCAACCTCTAAGCGAGCACATGACCTTGGCCTGGCTAATGAAAATGATGCTTTTCTCTGGTCATAGTAATTGGTTGGGGGATGGGCACGTGACCCAAGTCAGGTTCTTGAGACTCAACCCCTGGACTTGGCTAAAGCTACTGGGAAACAAAGCTCATCTTTCTTCTGTGGTGCTAAGCTGGTGAGATTTGAGCCAGGATTGCAGGGGATCCTCTTGCCACCACCCAAGAGAATGAAATTGACCCAAAAGAAAGCACAGCCATGAAAAGGGGCTAGATCCCTGAGCTGAGGCCGTTACCCCTGGACTTTTCAATCATGGAAGTCTCAATTTCTTTTTTATTTTCTTTGATTATTTTTCTACCCTGAAGCCAGTTTGAATTGGGTTTCTGTCATTGGGAACCAAAGTTATTATACATTTACTTGCTATAAATTTTCTTCTTTTGCACGAGTTAGTTTTGTTGTGAATTTCTAGCCTCTACAGCCAAGGATCTTAAGGGTGACTGACTATGACCCAACCCTGAATGCTCCGTCCGGGGACAGAGCAGAGGATTCCCAAACTAAAGCCCTGAGCAAAGAAAAATACCCTGCAGGAGTGGAGGAGTCCAATGACTTTGTGTGTGGAGGGGAGCTTCCCTGGCGAGGGAGGGGGTTTGCTAGAGCCCAGGGGCCCCAGAAACAGACGCTATGTGGTGGAGCAGAGCTGGACAGGCAGTGACTGGACAGGCACAAAGTCAGACTGACCCAGAAGAAATGCCTGCATCCCCACCTTTCCATCTACTTTACATGAAAGATCTTTTCTCAAATAACATGTTGCCCTGAGCTTGATTCCTCAGGCTCTCTGCATTCCAGCCCCATGGCCTCTTTTCCACTCCTCAAAAACCCAAAGCTCATTCCCAACCCTACCTCCCCCCTTGCCTTCCCTCCCTCTGGAATCCTTGGACTCGCTACTTTCCAAGCTTTTCCCAGGCTCTGCCCAGTTGGTTCCTTCTCATCTGTGAATGTCAGCCCTTCCTCAGTGTTCTTTGTCCCATCCCTAAGAAGCCCCCTCTCCGTCATTCTGTATCACATGCCCCTGCTTAGTTTCATCACAGTTCTCATCATATCCTGCAATGCTCTTTATCTTTTTTCTTTCATTTATTTACTATTTTTAAATCAAATTTTTCCTTTTAGGATAATTATGGATTCACACACAGCTGTAAGAAATGAGACAGAGAGAGATCCCAGGTACCTTTCAGCCAGTTTCTCCCAATGGTAAACTCTTGCAAAACTAGTGTAATCTAATATTACAATATCACAAGCAGGATATTGATATTGATACAGTCAAAATACAGACCAAGGATCTCTTAGGTGCCATTTATAGCTACAGCCGCTTCCCTCCTGCCCTCCCACAGATCCTGTCAGCCACCTGTTCTTCATTTCACTAATTTTACCTCTTCAAGTATTTTACAAAAATAAAATCATACAGGAGTATGTATGGTATTGGCTTTTTTTTTTCACCCAACATAATTATCTGGAGAATCATCCAAGTTGTTGTGTGCATCAGTAGTTTGTTTCTTTATGTTGCTAAATACAGTATTCCTGTCCACAACGTATGAGTTTCTCCACATCCTCACCAGAATTTGGTGGTGTCACTATTTTTTATAACTATTCTGATACATGTGTAGTAATATCTTACTGTCGCTTTAATTTGCACTTCCCTAACAGCTAATGGGGTTGAACAATTTTTCACTTATTTATTTGCTATCTGTATATAATCTTTGGCAAAGTGTGTTAGTGGTTTTTGCCCACTTTCTAATTGAATTGTTTTGTTATTGTTTACTATTGAGTTTTTAAAGGTCTTTATGTATGCTAGAGATTAGTTCTTTGTCAGAAATGTGGTTTACAAATATATTCTCCCAGTCTACAGCTTTCTCTTCAACCTCTTAATAAGGTCTTTTATGGACCAAAAGTATTTACTTTTGATGAAATACAATTAATCCATTTTTCCTTTTATGTGTTTGATATCAAATATAAGAACTTTTTGCCTAGCCCTAGATTCCAAAGATTTTCTCTTATTTTTCTAAAATTTTACAGTTTTTACCTTTATACTTAAGTGTGTGATTCATTTTAATTTTTGCAAGGGGTGTGCAGTTTAAACCAAGGCTGACTGTTATTTTTGCCAGTGAATGTCCAATAGCAGCAGCACCATTTGTTGAAAAGGCCATTTTCTGCACAATCATCCTCCCCCCCCACACACACATCACACACTCACACAACAGTAAACTGATTTGTAACTTTGTCAAAAATTAGTTGGGCACATCTGCATTGGTCTATTTCTGAGTTATCTATTTTTTTGGTTGATCTATGTCCTATCCTCCCACTAATATCACACAATCTGGATTACTGTAGCTATACAATAAGTTCTGAAATTGAGTACTCTAAGTCATCCTGTCTTATTCTTCTTTTTCAAAATTGTTTTAGAAATTATAATTTATTTGCCTTTCCATATAAATGTTAGAATACTTTTCTCTATATCTACAAGAAATCTTTCTGAGATTTTGATAGAAATTGTATTAAACCTATTTACCAACATCAGAATTGATGTCTTCACTATATATTGAGTGTTCTGATCCATGAACATAGTATATCTATCCATTTACTTAGATCTTCTTTGATTTCTTTCATTGGTATTTTTCTATGGTTTTAGTGTTTTCAGTGTACAAGTCCTATAAGTGTTTTGTTAGATTTATGCGTATTTCGCTTTTTTAGTATAAATGATACGTATTTCTAATTTTGTTGTCCAAATGTTCATTGCTAGTTTATAAAAATACAATTTATTTTGTATTTTTATCTTGTATCCTAAGACAGCACTAAACTTATTAGGTCTAGGCATTTTTTTGGCCAATAACTTGGATTTGTCTATACAAATAATTATGACATCCACAAATAGGTATAGTTTATTTCTATTACAATGTGTATGCCTTCTATTTTCTTTTCATGT